AATGCAAAACTGTAGCATAAGAATCCGTCAGAATTCCAGCATAATGAGACCACTCAATCAGAGTAAAATCTGAACCTGAAGCACCCCATGCCATAACATACTGCAATGACTTTTGCCTGACTGAGCAAGAGTCGGATGCTAGATTGGCACATCTCAGTGCAACAAGGCTTCCCCTGCTGCAGCCTATGAGACATGATAGATTGGCACCTCTCAGTGCAACAAGGCTATCCCTGCTGCAGCCTACTAAGAGGCATGAACGACGATCCAAATCCAAAACCTGGGCCGTGGGCTATTCCCTTGGCCACAAACATGAAGATCTGACAGAGCCAGGAGCAGCCTGCCACAAAACCTGGGCCTGGCCTGTCCCAGAATGGAGCAACATGCTACCAAAAATCCTGGTAGCCAGGATAACTCACACACAAAACAACATGTTACAACCAAAAGTCCTGGATACCAGGACAATGCACACTGAACACAAAAGGTTTTTTTTCAATAAAGTGAAATTGAGTTTACAAATATATACCGTATGAAAATACATCATTCTTGGAATCTTGTTTGCCCCATTCTACCCAATCTTGTAAGTCTTGCCTTGCTTGATTTCCAAAGGCGCTTTCAAAAACAGCCCTGGTTTCTGGGGGTAAATCCCAGCTGGGCTGCTGGACTGCTCAATGAATTTCAGCCTCATCATCACGCTGGCCAACTTGCCATCACCATACTCGAAGGTGTCAAACTTGATGTTGCTCGTGAGCTGACTCAAAGCATTTTGACTGGTCACCTCCATATTGGCCGCCAGCTTCTTGATTTCAAAGACACATTCCTCCGTAGCCTTCACAGCAACAGACCCAGTGCCATCATACTCCAACTCATGAGCAGCAATGAAGGGCTTGACAACCTTGTCATTCTCCATCTGCTTCAAGAAATCCTCCAAGGTCATCTTTCCCTCCACCTCATCCTTCATGAACCAGCCGGTAAACTTTGTGTCATTCATCTGGAACTTCAAGCTGTTCTTATGCTCCTTTCCATCTGTGTGGTACTCACCATAGGCCAAGACCAGGGGGCCACATGCTGCTGTGCAATCGATCTTGCCTTTGATGTACAGTCCATCCTTGTGAATCATCAGGCAGTAGTCTGCATTCTCTGACACCACCTTGCCATCCACATCACTGCATGCCTCGATTCGCACAGGCTGCACATCTGGCGTCTCAATATTTCTCTTCTTCGCCTTGTAGGTCTCGGTGCCTTTGTTGTTGAACTTATTGTTGTGGTCTGCTTGAAGCTTCGCAAAGTCATCAACCAACCTGCGGTGTTTCTTCAGAATGATGCAATGGATAACAAGCATGCTGAAACAAACCATTCAACACAGGTGCAGTGGGAACATAAATATATATATATATACATATTTTTGTTATTAAAAAAGACCCAACAGCCCACCTTGTCAATGTCACTGTGTCCAGGAATGACTGCCTGAAAGGCAGCAAGAAGCTATCACCGGATGGCATTGGGCATGTCATTTCAAAGTCACCTTCGTTGAGGCTTGGCATGATGCTATCTTGCTTGAGCTCAGCCTTCTTGAAGCCATCCAGCGCAAGAACCTTGCTCTCATGCATCTTGCCAATCTGACGCCAGAACAGGGGGACCAAGAATTTGTAGATTTGTCTCTTCTCTGCCACAGCTTGAGCATCTTTGGTGCTCTCAGTTGCCCAGATGATGCTCAAAACCTTGAAGTTCTGTTTTGATTGGGCTTTTCGAAGCAGCATTGCTTCCACCACAGAGCTGTCATAGAGGAGCAGGTCAGTGATGAAGACTGGGATTGTAGTTTTCATGCCGCTCAGCAGTTTTGTGAAGATGCTCTGCCAAAGGGCAGCACCCGACATTGCCTGCTTCATACGCTGAGGCTTTGACAAGTTCAGTGTGATGTGTCCAACACTCTGGTTGGTCATCTCACCTGTTGGCCTTGCCTGACAATCTTGAGCAGCTCGACGGATCCAAAGAGCACTGCTGCTGAACTCGGACTCCGTATTTGGCAAAATCATCCAAGCATCATGGGTGGCTGCCCGTGTGGAATGTTGCTGAAGGCTCTCCTCAGAGAAGATGATCTGAATCCTTCTGCATATCAGATGTGCGCTCTCAGCTTTCAATGTTGCTTCAACATCATGAACTGACTCAGAGATCTTTTCCTCACTGTCAGATTCTCCCCACCGGGCCCTGTTGGGGGCAATCATGAGGCAGCAAGCATCTTTATTGGGTGCCACACATGCAGAGACCTTGGTGACAATGTCATTGATATGCTTGGACCATCCTGTGCCCAGCTTCGTCAAGTCGCACAGCAGAACGTGGTATGCACGTGGCTGGGAGAACTCTTCATAGGACTTCAAGGACTGTGTCACTACAAAGCCACTTTCCAGCACACTCACTGGGAGGGAAGCTGACTGCATAGTCTGGCAAGCCTCTTCAAACTTCGCCTTCTCACCAAGCAAGTGCGTCCTCCTGCTTGCTGCATGGGATGCCTTCCAATCTGAAAGCTGTCGAACAAAGCTCTGAAATTTTCCCTGCTCACCCTCAAGCTTGAGACACATGGCCTTGTACTTTGCTTTTTCCAGCTCAAGTTCAGCTTGCACTGATCTCTCCTCAACACTCAAGACTGTGCTGTGCACTCCAATGAATTGCTGGAGCCAGCGAAATGACTCCATGGAGATCTCATCTGATTGCGTTTTCACCTTCTCAACGAACTCTTTGTCCCAAATACCCTTCAAGAAGCAGGATTTGGCTTTATCAAAGTCTGCAACGCTCAAGGTCTTCTGGAAGTCTGCCTCATAGGATTGCCACAAGCAGCAAACATCGAAGCTCTCCTGCAAGCTGTCCCTCATTTTTGCCTCAGATTACAGTGAACTTAGAACTGGGTAGTACTGAGTATGAAATCAGTTCCACACATACATAACCATGCTTTGTGCCTTCCAAAAATCATACCTATTAATGACAAGGTGCTGCCCGAAAGGCCAGAGATCCTTTCTTCTTTGTGTTTCCAGCCATCTGGCGCTGATTCTGGTTAAAGATCTCAATCTGCCGCTGGAGCCAAATGAAATTCTTCTCGGGCGTCGCCTTCAGAATGGAGCCCCAGGCTGCATTCTCTGTAGGTGGTGCCTTGCGATCAACCTTTTCACACAAGCTTTTCAGCGTGACAGCAGATTCAGGGCTTTTGAACCGATCCCAATGAGATTCCAGCAGGTCCACAAATGACTTGAGCTGGAATGGCAAAACCTTCAAGATTTGTGCCTCCAGATCACTCACACGAGAACCAGCCACTGAGCTTGTTTGGTTGAACTTCTTGATTTGGTCAGAGATGCATGCATTGAACTCCATTCCCATCTTTGCAAAGAGGCCTTGCCAACCATGATACAGTTGAATCACGTCTGGCCTAGTGCTCTCGGACAGCTGGAACTTGCCCCGCACAGAGCCAAAGAACTCTGACTCTGCATTGGCTGCAACTTGCCAGGTCACTTTGATCGTGAGGCAGGATGCAAACACATGAGACAAGTCCTTCTGCTGAGTCTCATTGAGCTGTGACCAAAACTCCAGCACCATCTTTGCAGCCAGTGACCGTGTGAATCCAACAACATGCTTGATGCTGAACATACCCACAGGGCCAGTGGACGAGTCAAAGCTCACACTCAATGGCCGTCGTACACTTTGAAAACTGTCCTCCACAAAGTTGATGGCCAACTCAACAATGGAGACCTGCTTGGGTTTGCCACGATAGCCAGCTGAATCGGAAAAGCCCAGCTGCCAACAATCCACCCAATGCTCAGAAATCTGCGTGCTTGGGGTTGGAACATCAACAATGGCCGTCTGGAGCACATGGCCATGGGCCATGACTTCACCTTTGATGTTCTCCAGGTAATCCTTGTAGGAGTGCAGTGTCTTATACTTATCCTGAAGAACTTGCTGGAAGTGCTTGGATTCGTCTTGGGCATGAATCTCCCGAATCATATTGACAAGGATCTCCCTGGAATTGGCCATTATGGACCTTCGTGCCCAAATCAACCAGAAGATGGGGAACAAATTCAAGAGTGTATGTCTGGTAGATAGGGGGCCCCTTTCTACCAGAGTCAGATGCCCCTGGGGGGGTACTAACAATGGAAGCTAGCCTAATTTGATAACACTTACAATGTTAGGGGCCCCAAGTTGATCATACCTTTGGTAGATAGGGGGGCCCTTTCAACCACAGCAACCTTCAGTTAAAATCCAGTCAGACTTTGGCAGATTATGAATTTAAGACATTTTTCACCAAAAAATAATAGTAGCTCATTGTAATATCACCAAGAAACTTGCCTATAATTGCTCACTAGTTCAGGGTGAAAATGAGGCTCACTACCTGGTTGAGACCCAATAGTGAGGCAAGGTCTGGTAGCATAGGGGCCAATTCTGCCATTGCATTATCCCCAACAAACTTGACAGAGATAATGCAGTGCCATAATGAGGCTGTTTGGGAAATGAGGCTCACTACCTGGTTGAGACCCAATAGTGAAGCAAGGTCTGGTAGCATAGGGGCCAATTCTGCCATTGCATTGTCCCCAGCAAACTTGGCAGAGATAATGCAGTGACCTATCATGACAATGAGCTTGTTTGGGGAAAATGAGGCTCACTACCTAGTTGAGACCCAATAGTCACTATCAAGGTGAAGATCGACTCAAACACATTGTAATATTTCCCCTGGAAGTGAGGCCATGAGGTTGGAGATAGTGAGGCTGGATGGGGGTAGTAGGAGATAGTGAGGCTAGGGGATATTAGTTGAGGTTGATTCTGAATCGATTGTTGGAGATACTGAGGCTGGAGGGGACAGGAGGTAGTGAGGCTGGAGGGGTCAGGTCCCATTTTGCAAGATAATGAGGTTGGAGATAGTGAGGGAGGGGACAGGTGATAGTGAGGCTGGAGGGGGTAGTAGTAGGAGATAGTGAGGCTAGATGAGGGGATATGGTCCCATTTGGCAAGATAATGAGGTTGAGGGAGGCTGGAGGGGACAGGAGGTAGTGAGGCTGGAGGGGTCCCCATTTGGCAAGATAATGAGGTTGGAGATAGTGAGGCTGGATGGGAGGGGAGATAGTGAGGCTGGCACCATTGGAGGAGACAGGAGATAGTGATGAGATGGGATAGTGAGTCACAGTTGATAATGAGGTTGGAGATAGTGAGGCTGGAGGGGATAGGAGATAGTGAGGCTGGAGGAGACAGTAGATAGTGAGGCTGGAGGGGATAGTGAGTCACAGCTGTCACAGATTTGGCAAGATAATGAGGTTGGAGATAGTGAGGCTGGCGGGTACAGGAGATAGTGAGGCTGGAGGGGATGATAGTGAGTCCCATTTGGCAAGATAATGGGAGTCAGTTGGAGGTGATAAGGAACAACAACTGTGCATGTAGGTGGCACCCTGTGTAGGTGGTGTCCTGGCTGCCAGGATGGTAGCCTGCTAGTTAAAGCCTGCCAGGACAAAGTGGGTTTAAAACCCTGGCATGGTGGTGGCTGGGAGTGATCCTGGAATCCAGGATATATATGTTTATTTTTTAAAGTTTTTTTCTGGATTATTCCTGGAAACCAGGACTTAAGACACAATGACTCTACTGTAACACTTTTTTTAGCCTCAACATTTATTAATGTTCAAGTGGAAACCTGTGGG